GCACCCAGAGCCAGCCTGTAACGCCCACGGGCATCCCTGGGCAAGTGCTGCTTTCTTAATGGCAGCCTCGTCTTGCAGCAGAGGACAAAGCGATGAAAGAGGAGCTGAAAGAAGAGCCAGGGAGGTCTCGCTGCCTTGAACACTCCTGGGTTACACCGAAAGCAGCGGGGACGGCCAGGCAGAGAGCTGACAGGGTCCGTGCCGGCCGTTTGCCCAGCAGGAAAAGCCCCCTCCCAAAGCCACGAAACAACCAGCTGCCAAGCAGGCCGCCCCGCTGTCCGCGGAGGGATAAATCCCTGCGTGGGGTCTCCACGAGGAGCCACACAATAAGGCCGGGACGTTCCCCGCTCCCGAGGGCACCCCGTGCTCACCTGGGAGGTGAAGTCGTGCTGCTGGAGCTGCCTCCCTTCCCGCAGGTCCCAGGAGCGGACGGTGTTGTCCAGACCCCCCGTCCACAGCTTCGTACCGTCGTGCGAGATATCTATGCAGCTGGCACCATCTGTGTGGCCTTGGAATTGCCTTTGAACAACAAAAAAAATAATGCAAACCTTCGAGGGGAACACTAGCAAAAAGCACATCGGTTGCTCCGAGGGAAGGGCTGCTCAGGCCGCATTTACAAGGCTTCCCCGCACCAAGCACGCCTGGAAACCCACCCAGGGAGCATCCTTTGCCGAGGGGCCCCAGCCCGGCCAAGCCTGCCGCGCTCGCTTACAGACAAAGCATCACGAGAGCGCGCTTTTTGTCACCGTCCCCAAGGTCCTCAGGGCAAAACATGGCCAGAAAGACCCCGACGACGGGGAAGAGGAAGCCCCGGTGCTGCCAGCCCTCCTGCCGCGCCGGGGGCCGAGGCTGGCTCACCTGACGAGCGTCTGGTTGTGCAGGTCCCAGACGGCGATGTTGCCGTCGCTGCAGCAGGAGAAGCAGACTTTGGCGTCGGGGCTGATGGCCAGGGCGTAGCAGGCAGGGGCAGAGGAGGTCAGCTCGGCCTTGATGCGGGGCGTGGGGGAAGCCAGGTCCCAGATGGTGAGCGTGCTCGCCTCCCCTCCCACGATCAGCGTGCGGCCGTCGGGGAGGAGTTTGCAGGAGCGGATGTAGTTATCTCTGTTCTGGAGGGGGAGAAGGATTCACCGCGTTAGAGGTGGGGGAAAGCCGCGGGGACGGACATGGGCTTGGGGACCAGCAGCCACCCGCTGTCACTTGCGTGGGCACCGGGGATGCTCCAGGTCCCGGTGGAGGGAGCGCTGCTCCGAGCCCCCTTACCAGGCAGTCCAGCTGGGAGATGGGGCTCTTGCTGCCCGGCTGGCTGATGTCCCAGATCTTCACGCACCCCTTGCCCCCCGTGTAG